GGAAAGAAAATCTAGATTTTGGAGGAGACATAGAGGGAAAAAAAAATCAATAGAGACTTCTAAATGACTCCTTCAAGATACCACTTTTCAATTTAACAGGACAGATTTATTTGTATGTGGCTCAAATGTTCACAATTGCTCTCTGCACCTTCATACATAGGAATGAATGTCACAGTGGCAAACAGCAGTAATGAACAATCTTACCTGAGGATATGGAAACCTCCCAAGAGCAAGCTGGGAAAGGAAATAATATTTGTCTAGTTATATAGATTTGCATGGAGGGCACATTTTCTTAAAGAGAGAAAAGTACTCAACTCTTACTATTGTATAAATTGGAAAATGTCAGCAAAAGTAATGCTGAAAACACACAAAGAGCTGTATTTAGAATGGAGTCATTCACAACCACCACCCCTTGTTCTATGTTTCTGAGTATTTCTGTATTTCTTGAGCTCTTTTGTCTCTACCACTCAATAACACCGTTTGATGCCCAGGTTCCTGAGGACTCTCTAAATTAAACCAGTTCAGCCTCAATAGTGAGGCCAATGACACTGGCCTTTGCTGATAATTATCTGCAATGAACAGGTATTGTAGAGCATGCACTGAACTCCCAAAGTCCTTCCTTAACTGGCTCAGAGTAAAATCTGGGTTATACAGCTGAGGTTTGCCTCCTTATCGGTGTCAAACCCAGGTAGGAACCTGGGAGGGGTATCTGGAGAGAGATCATGGCACCTGCAAAAAGACACTTCCACTTTTCTTCAGATCTACTTTCAATTGCACACGACATCAACTGGATTTGTTGCCCACGTTGTTTTATAAGTCAATCAGTGCATTACTAGAGTATCTGCTAGTATCAGTATTAACCCAGCCACAACACTACAGTTGTCATAATGACACAGCTACTGAATATTCCATAATAAATTCTTCATTCAACTTTAGGGTTTCCCATTTGGTATCTGAACCTTGGAAACAATTTAAGCAAAATATAGCTAGTTTAAGTTATTTTGTCTGCTGCTCAGTAAAGGACAAGGGCTTTCAGAGCTGACACAGACTCCTCCAGAAGGGCTTTCAGAGCAGCTCTGTTCTGACCTGCTTTCTACATAAGCCCACCTCTCCCCATGGTTTGCAGAGGAGCCATAGTCAGATGAGCTTCTCTACACCCTGGTTAACCTTGGTGAATTCTCCCCTTATTGCCTTCAGAAGGAACTCTACCAAAAAGGTTACGGATGCACTGCTACTACTGATTTGTCTGCATGATGAACTACGTATGTTCGCATCAGACCGAGTAACAGCATCAATGCTGAAGGTCCAAGCCATCATGTCATGCACTGCAAAGGGTAAACCACACGTCAGTGCTGGGTGAAAGCTGTTTTCCAGCAATTCTATCATTAATGACATCTGAGCTCCTCAGTGCTGAGGTTACCTGACCTGGCCAGATTGCAGCTAAGGCAGCTGTGCTAACCTATGATGAAATTTCAGCCTGGTTGGCAGCACAAACCTACCTTAAGTATAAACAATCAGGCATAGACAAGAGCTGTAAGAAGGTGGGGAATGAATGGATGGGGCAAAGACCAGTAGATATACTCGAGCCTCATCAATTCAGGAAAAAGGTCATGAGAAGGTAGTAAGAAGCACCTGAGAGAATGAGTGGAAGCAACCAGAAATGAGCAGGGATGATGCCCTTCCTGCACTTCCAGCTGCTGTTCAAACTTAGTCCCATACTAGCCATTTGGCTGTGAGCCTTAGCGAATACAGTAAACTTCTTCCAGGTCCTCAGAGGAAAGACATTGCAAAAGCAGAGTAGGTCTTAAAGCATTTGTGTAAGAGGCATGCAAGAGATGCCCAAAGAGATGAAACAGTATTTTTGGTGACTACTCTTAGAAGCTTTTGCACTACTGAGGTGTGCTGAGCAAGGATCCCTACTAGCAATAACATACATGTTTTTTCTGAGATGTTTCTATTCTGCCACTCGTCTCTCTGAATCTGCTTCCAGGCTTCCATGTGGGGATTGTTGTCACTTGGTTTGTAAGACCAACACCTACAGAATGTAGAAGAAATCCAGCTTACAAGAGACACTGGAACAGGGAACAACATTGAGGTGAGAAGACAAGACCTCTTCAGGTTCTCCACAGTGATATTCCTTCCTCCTCTGGGTTTCTTCTGTGCTTTGTCTTTCAGGTTTGCCTTTAAGACTCAATTCTTTGGGGTGAATTCTGCCTTTCAGTTTTGGTTCTGGTGCAGTGCTGAGCACAGTGCTTCTCTTCACAGTAAATCCATCCTCGTAACAAACCAACCTGAGCTAAGCAGTTTGACCACCATCCTTTCTATCACTCTTATCTGGTTCACAGCTTCTCCCAGCTCAGCGTTACTCCAGTTGCTCTCTGATGACAGGCTTTGAAATACACTGCTAAGTAATTAAGCCAAGACCTTATGTTTTCTGTTATGCTCAGTCTTAAGGACCAGCACCTACTAAAACATTCCCTTCTATTCATCTTCTTTCGGAAGGACCACCTGTAACTTCCAAAAAGCTGCTTGAGATCCTAAGAAACACTGCTGCTGTGATAGCCTATAAATGCCTAGAAATAAACCTATAAATGCCAAACACTTTTCTCTGAACAGAAGTAGAAAAAAATCCTGATTTTTCCAATGACTATAGATGCAGGAATAGTCATTACAAAAGCTACAGACTCATAGGAATGTAATAGTTACCCCACTGCAAAACAAGAAGATAACTATGGCTATACTCACAGGGCATGATTCTGCACATCTTATTTAAGCAGAAAAATGACCACAGCCTCACTGATGACTTCAAACTAAGCATTTTCATTCTCACTGACGATTCCTCCCCTCGACCACCACACGCCTCAGCAGGGGCTCCAAAGGCAGCAGAGTAATTGGGGAAAGAGCAGTTTTCTGCCAGACATAAGCACGGGGTGTATAAATGAGGTCTGAAGAATCCAAAATGCATCAGGAACAAGCTGTGAAAAGAAACACGTTTCTCAGTGAAGCTGCTCCTTGACTGAGAACTGCAAAGCGACAGAGCCCTGGACAGCTCATGTGCCAGTTCTGCATCCCCTGAACCATCACTTGCTTCAGCTCGTCAGAGTTGTTTCCTCCCTGCAAGATTGTCAAGGTATTATAAATTAAGAAACTTACCAAAGAGTATGTAATCTTCCCTGAAATAGCCTGCAGATATGTCACTGTACTAAATGTGTTTCAGATTTAATGAAGCTTTAATGTCCTTTTTAATTTTGCCTGTTTCTGTATCACCAGGGGTCGAGCAAGGCAATCAGCACTCAAGAGGGTGGTTTGGTTTAAAACTAGAAAAACTCATTTGCTTATGAGTTGCACTGTATTTTCTTAATTAAATTTACTAAGTAAAATGGTTTAAGTTCAGCTAACCAATGACCTCTGTGTGTAGATTTAGATTTATAAACAGTGTCACAGTTACAAAAAAAAACCTACCCCAAAACAAACAGATTAGAGCTTCACTAAAGGGATTTTCATACTGTTATCATCTGTCTCAAGGAAGTCATCTGAACACAAGCAGCACAAGCCCAGTGCAGGACACAAACAATTGTAAACTACCAAACTAATGCACTATCAAACACTTATCTCCTCTGCATTTACAGGTGACAAAACTCAGGAACTTGCAATTTTAAGGCATTGTAACAAAAATATAGTATTTCCATTCACACTATTTAGGTTTGGGCACTGACTAGTATTTTATGTAGCTTTGGATATTAAGGAGGGGAAAAGGGAATGCTTAAACTTCAAGGAGATGGCTCACATATCCCTGGGGACACCTTCCCAATACACAAGAACAGCAAAACCCATCATTTAAAAAAGGCCCAGTGAATTGCAATGCCAGCATGGTATGGAAATATAAATGAGAATCAGACCATATCAGCAAGAAATATGTCAGAATAACTCTCTCCTACACCATTACACCTCAGAGCAACTACCTGTCTGCATAGGGTTTTGTTAAGAAGGGTGGTAGAGTGCGTGGTCTTCTTTTAACTGTTGCTTTCTTAGACATAGAAGTAGCCCATCAGAGCACTTAAAACACTCATTTTATAGTGATTTTTATCAAACAATATCTAAAAATCACACCAGGGAGAGCAAACATGAGGCAGCCAGTTTTGGTAGAGGCAGGTGCCTAAACCCCTTGTTTGGAGCAGCTGTAAGAAGGGCTGGAAAGCAAATCTAACCTCAACTACATACGTTTAATGTGAACACAAAATTAAAATGACTCGGTGAAATAATGTAATGAACAATTTTGGAACTGAAAATAGAAATCCTCACTGACAAACCGCTCTCTCTGCATCCCTCTTTACTTGCTTGACTACATAAGAATTACAACAGGGACTTGGTCCGGATCCTGTTCAGAAAGTGACTGAGGGAAAGAAGTTCAAAACATACTTTCAGGACACTTGGGCAATAAAATCTCCCACTTAGATTATTGTCTATGTTGTACAAGTTGTTTTTTAATTTACAGTTATACTGAAAAGCATGGGATGGTTTTATTCTTAATTTAGACACATTCCATGTTTCTCAGCATAACTGCAAATTGAAAATAAGCACTTACAATATCACAATGATCCAGCTGAAGGGGGACTTTATAGTCTGAAATGTTCTAAACTTTGTTCTTAATTACCTCGTGCACATTTTACACAATTAAATTTCCATCTAAGAATTTTGCATTTAGATGGTGCACTGCCGTTAAACCCTCATTTTATGGAAAAGCAGCCGCCACTTCGGAACATTCAGACACAGGAAACTTTAAAAATCAGACTTAACTACTGGATAACATAAAATTCCCTAGGTGAAATTTCATACCAAGACCAATTTATACATTCCTAGATAGATGGCTTAAAATCACCTGAAACTCTGCAGGGTATGGACCTTAATAAATATTAAATACCTCAAAAACTACTCTAAGATTTTTCTTTCCTTCTAATATCAATTCCAGTGTCCTCTTATTGCACAGTTTTAAAAAAAAAAAAAAAAAAAGAGAATCCAAAAGGATATAACAGCAATTTACCAGCGTTAAAGTGCTGCTGAGGTTAAACCGACAACAAAGAAGAACAGAAACACAAAGCATCTTGAAGTAGGGTTTCAATTAAATGTGCAGGATTTAGTAATGCAGGACGAAAAAAAGAGTTACAAATTAATTTAATCTTCTGCCTATAGTTTGCAGCTGCACTCCAAAGTGTCTGGGGCTTAAGAACAAAGCC